TCCATTGACCTCAGCATCCAATATCATGTAGTAATGAGCTATTATTGCCTGTGATTCCGAATCATTCAAATAGGGAGCATTTCGTTCTGCTTTGTGAGTCCTCTGGATGAAATCGTTACTAAAAAGGTCAATGGAAAACCGCATTATACGGATTGTCAGCAATTACATCCATTGATGAATACATCAAAATGGTGTACTTCGGCCTCGAATCATGACCGGTTTGTATATCGCAAGTCTTTGTCACTAATTCTTTTTTCCCTGGCTTACTTTTTCTGTCTCTTGGATGTGAATAGCACCGGATGATATATATGTAGAGGAAAAGGGGCTTTGGGGTTACCAGAACATATATTCTGTCAAAGTCCCATATTAACAAGCAGATAAATATGGAACGTTGCAAGGCAACAGTTACCACAGGTAGTTCTCTCCATCTGCAGGTCAAACCATCTTGTTCTCAACAACATCTCTCCTTTCGCGAAGATCCGATTCTGACGCCAAGCACGAACCGACGCGAAGTGCCCAATGCGGGACGGGGAATTTCGCAAGTTGCGGGGACCCCTGAAAGACCTCGTATTCTCGCAATGTGTCTCCTTTTGCGCCTCATGCCAATACAATAAACGTCAGAACACATCAGAAAATACTAATGGTTGGTGTTCCACGCAGCAAAGGCTGCTTGGCATGTCTCCAGCGGCGGGTTAAAGTAGGAAAATCCCAGTATGCTATTTTTTTCTCCCAAGGTAACACTCTAATACAGGGCCCAGTGCGATGAAACCCAGCCACGATGTCAATCCTGCGAGAGAAGAGGGAACCCATGTCCTGGCTACACAAGGACCCGGAAGTTCTGCCATTTCTCCGCGAACAGTCCACACGAGCGCACGAGATCTACATCCCCGGCGACACAATCTTCAAGTATGGCACTGGTCACTACCAAGGAAGCCCGGCAATACCCCACGATTCCCCGTACGTCTATGGATGAGGCTCTAATGCCAGGATTGGTTTCCAAGGCACTCGACCGACAATGCAGGAAGGGCTTTTGTGATTTCGTGGATGCGGTATTTCCGACCATTTATTACAGTTACAGCACTCGTGTGGAACTTCCTTGGTTCGAGATCGCTCAGTACGACCGAGGCGCAGGAATCGCAATGGAATGGGCATTTCGCAGCCTTGGGACCCTGCAGATAGGCAGAGTAAGTGGCAATCAACGACAGATTCTTACCAGTCAGGAAATGTACGGCCGTGGACTACGTTATCTTGTTCAGGCTATCAAGAACCCTGCTACAGTTGGCACCGATGACACCCTTGGAGCTGCCATCCTGCTAGGAATCTATGAGTTGATGAATGAAACAGGGGAGAACTCATGGCTGCTGCATTCACGTGGAATCTCTCATCTATTGCGTCTAAGGGGGGCGAGGAGTCATACGAGCGGGTATGGCCGTACTCTGCTGTTATCCTTTCGAGGACTCCTAGTTTACGAGGCCTTCACTCGGGGGGAAGCATGTTTCCTAGAAAGCGAGGAGTGGAGATCAACTCTCCCAGAGACCCTAGAAGACGAGGAACGGCGTGGAAAAAGCTGTCGCTTTGGCCAGCTCATGGACTATGCATTCAACGAGATAGCTCAATGCCCTGGGTTTCTTGCCAAGACCAAAGCCCTAGTCGCCTCCTCGCGAACAACCAATGCGGAGAGAGACGATTTAATGGGTGTAATCAACAGCAGCCTAGAGGTCCTGAGTGATGTGGAAATCCAAATAATGGCTGGTGTTAAGGCTGATCACGAAGGGGATAAGAAAGAGTCTGAGTCTTTCTTTGGATTGATCCCCCATTCCATCAAGAATGCATCGGTGAAATTCACACTTGAGGGTGTTCATTCAGGGATCGCACTTCTCCGACAGTTGTCAGTTGTGCTAGTCTCCGATCGGAGTCGACAAAAAGCAGTAACACCGTGGTTAAAACTCGGTCCGTGTAAGAATGAGTGGAAGCTCATTAAGAACGCTGGCGAAATTGCCCAGGCCCAAAAGAATACTCGACCGCACCCAACAGGTCCACAGCAACAGGGCAGTCCGAAAATCTGGCATGACCGGATCGCACTAGCTATGGGGATGCCAGAGACAGTTTGACCAATCCGCCCTGAGGATTGTCTGTCTATCTGGCCTCGGTCCGAACTGAGTTTTTGCGCCCGCAAGCCATAGTCGGAGTTTGGTTCGTCCATTAAACGCATTTGCTCTTGGATTATGACAGACCTCCTGTATCCAAGTGTTATTCAAGTGGCGTCCCGAGGTCCAAGCACCGCATCTGTCGATCCTTTGTGCGGTTGGCTCGCAAATCGTCAAATTTATCCCAAAAGGTCGAAGGAATGAAAGCGACCGTCTGTCCTGAGAAACTGGGCAGTCATAGGGGATGCAGTCATGTGCGGCCGTGAACCCTACGTAGCGTCGCAACTACACCTCAGATCATGACGGGGAATGACATTATCACAGCCCACATGGGGGGTTGGGTCCACTTTTGGGAATACGGAGTGAGAAGAAAAAGAAAAGGAAGTTCGACGTTGGGAATGCTGGTGTTTCAAATCCGGCGATTACCGGAATAGGAGAGACTGTGACATCGCAGTGAAGTAATGCATTGCGAGTACTTTTGTGCATTGCAACAGCCATATTATCTTTATTTGCCCCACTGGATCGGACTTTATTCTCCAATTATATTAATTGCGTTGCCTGGTCTGTGTCTTACACTCTCAATCGCCATCTGGGCACAATACCATGCGGTTTTCAGCTTAAACTAAAAAAGAGCATCTTGGTAATGCTCTGTAAGCCACTTGAATTCTCCATTTCATGCCCTTCATGTGGTACAAGTGACCATAACGAGTATATGGTCCTGAAACATCCTTTGGGCCAAACGGAACGTTAGCTAACACAGCCCTACAAAACCATATGAAATCCAGATTGCACGGATTACTCGCAGGGCGTGATCAATTGTTCCTGGAGGAAGAATGCCGGGGCGCTCCTGTCGCATTTTCGAAACAGGCGATCATCTCCACCAGGGGAGCCAGGTCGTCATACAATGGTACCTATATACGGAGTACTCCCGTACATATGTTGTATGTACGATATACATGTGACTGATGTTTCCACCTTGGCAACCCACGTCTGCCTAATGTAAGGTTGCTCGAAAACGCAATTCAGCACGGGTACCTGGGAATCCTTGCGGGTGTCTGGAGCGTCCCAAGATTCCAGCCACCAGTGCTTGCGTGGCCCCTGAAGTGCTCGTTCATTCGGATTGGCCACAATGAATGCTAAGCATTCTGTTGGACACCAACAGAAGCTTGCCTGGCCATTGGGAGTGCTCCGGATGGCCCGCCAACGTCATGCGAAATTAGATTGTAGCGACGAGTCGCCTACAGTTGCCGATCAGGATCGGCCCAATCATCATCCCAACCGATCCACAGGTGTCGCCACAGCTTGCGTGATCTCGATTTTTGATGTTTCGAGAAAGGCCGTCTATTCTTAGTCCAAAGTCCGAACGTGACAAAGATGACAAAGGCACGGGATATATAGGATCGAATTCGCCTCCCGGTTAGTTACCACATTGCTAGACATACCATTCATTACTAGGCTCACCAGACTACTTTGATATACTTTGTACAACATTTTCAAATCAATTTCAATATTCGTTTTATACGTTCCTCCTAATAATGCCGTCCTCATTGACCTCTAGCGCTGGCTCGGTCGAGTCGCACCACAGCCACAACACCTCTCTTCAAACTAAAGCCGACCCAAACATGGCTCTACATGAACAAGAGCCTAGTATGTATCCCTGCAAACTAGTCATTTTTAATCTAGGATACCCACTGACAACGAGTAGCCGCTGTGAACCTCCAGCCCGGATCTCAGGATACGTTTTCACTTCGAAGCATCCAGCACAAGGACCGGGAAGGAAAGATCATCAGTAAGTCTCTAGTCACCATTGTTTTTGATGGGAACTACATGCTGACCTAGCGAAAGCCGATCCCGATCTTTCCAACCCAACACGCAGCCGACTCGAGCGCCCGCTCGACACCATCCGATCGTTTGATGCAGCAATCGACGCACATCGTAAACAGCAACGGATGTGAAAGAGTGACCGAGGCCAAATGGTTCCATCAGAACGAAACGAAGGGACGCTTTTTAATGCCAATCTCAATTCGAACACGGGTTGTTGATGTATAATTATTGTTTGTATGATGGAGTCATGGAGATATCAAAATTCGACGCTATTGTCTGGATCATTTCATTTTCTATCAAGGCAGTGCAGCAGCTTTTAGATGAAGATAGGCGAAGATGGTAGACGTCCTGTTTGTGGCATACGTGCCATTTCCATTGAGCCGACATCTTGTATCTCAAAGAAGCTATACAAGGTATATTAAGGTATGGGTACCATGCCCTACAAAATCCATAATCAAGTACAAAGTACAATGTTGTTACGCAGATATGCCGAAAGAATCGGAGAAGAGCCGACCTGATCTACATGTAGATCTTTTCAGACTGAACTGGCCCCAACTACATATTCATGGAGGTACTCAATCTATGAGGTATCATCGATTATATCCAAGTTATTAACCTGTTATTTCCATAGTTATACGACTTGCTCGGTACAATTCAAACCATTGCGACAGTCACTTGTGTAAATGACGCATAAATAACTAGCATATTCGGTAAACGAGTGGCGCACCCCAAAACCCTAAGCCTAAGCGATATTTTACAACCTCATATCGCAACAACCACGTTGTTGTTTGATTTCATTTTCATTGGGTAGCTATTGATAAGGCTTTTAAACATTATGTATCAATTTCAAGGACATCGAAAAGCTGCATTATTATGGTATTGAAAATTACGTTGTTCAAAGCCAGAAATATATATATCGCAATCATAAAGTCATAAATATTTTCTAAACTCCCTAGAGAAGCTAGATATCACCTAACAAGCATCCAGCTATTAGGGAAACTCTATATAGACTACCGTTGTTAAGATACCAAGTTGTAATTTATCGCATTTACTAGGTGTTTTGGCGTACGCCACTCGTTTACATGCGCCGCTCGTTTACCGAATACGTTACTTGTGCATAGATTTCTCGGTGGGCTAGCCATGGAGAGAGATCATCGAAGTGATCAAGGCCTACAAGTTCTCCTTAGCCATCGTCTTCTTGGACTAAGCAATGCCGCAGACAGACTACAGCTTTAAATTGACGAATAAAATTAGATCCGAAGAGAAAAAAGAGATAGTTGGAAAAAGAAAAAGCCACCAAATGCCGCCATCCCAAGACGCCCCACCACCGCGTCGGCCGGATATATTCACTTTCTCTTCACTTCGACTACTTTGGGAATTTACTCTGAGTGTATGGCTTTTCATAGTCTACTTTGAAGGGGAACTGCAGAACACCTACATGGGTCTCTGCAGATTGACAAAGAACTGCAGACGGAGTACGGAGTAAGCAAAAGCCAAATCCACTTAAGTGCGTGGAGCCCGTTCATCTCTCTTATTATTCGCTCGGACTACATGAACCGATTCGTTTTAGAGCCCTAATGATCCTTCTTTTTTGAAGAGATTATCTTCGGGCAAAAATAACATGGCAGCCTAAACCTATTGAACAATGGCTTCAAAGCACTTGACCCATATTGGGCTTGTTGGATCGGCTATACGCGTCCTTTCTGTGGTTTCAGAAAGTAAATAGAAATTGGACTATATGACGCTATTGATCTTACTATTAATGGACTTGAAGCCATGGCTCCCCCCATGTTGGACCTTATTTCCCTCATTTCGCCGTTCGCCGTTCACTCGTTTGACTTTGATTCTCTCTCTTTATCTCTTTGAATCAAATTATCCCAACTATATACGCTCGCTATAAATCTTTGCGGCATCAGATCCGCAAAACCATTCTTCACCATGAAGTTCTCCATGGTGGCACTGGCGACCCTGGCTGGGGTTGCTGTTGCTGATTTGGATCCCATCGTCATCAAGGTACTGTCTCTATACACGTATAGTAAGCGTGATATATTCGGTACTGAGACTGTCAATAGGGCTCCAAGTTCTTCTACTCTAGCAATGACACTCAATTGTAAGTCCGAATGTGCCGGTGTCTTGAATTCGGTGACTGACAAGAACAGCTTCATGCGTGGAATCGCCTATCAACGTAGGTTGTTTATGCCATCACTTCAACGTCTCGACTAATCTTCTGCAGAGGAAAGTACGAGTAGCAGTGGCTACACTGACCCGCTCGCCGATGCCACCGCTTGTGCGCGTGATATTCCCATCATGGCGAAGCTGCGCACCAACGTTATCCGTACCTATGCCATCAACGCCTCTGCTGACCACTCGGCCTGTATGAAACTCTTGGCAGACGCTGGTATTTATGTGATCTCCGATCTATCTAACCCCAATCTGTCGATTGATAGAAGCAATCCTTCGTGGGAAACCGATCTCTTCGCCCGATACACCAGTGTTGTTGATGAATTGGCCCAGTACAACAACACCATTGGTTTCTTCGCCGGAAATGAGGTTTCCAACACCATCGATACTTCCGACGCCAGCGCTTTTGTCAAGGCTGCTGTTCGTGACACCAAGAAGTACATCAAGAAGAAGGGCTACCGCTCTATGGGTGTTGGATATGCTACCGCCGATGTGGCCGACATCCGTGCGGACATGGCCGACTACTTCAACTGCGGAGACTCTGACGAGACTATTGACTTCTGGGGATACAACATCTACTCGTGGTGCGGTGAATCGAACTACGCAAAATCTAATTACAAGGATCGCACCGAAGAGTTCACCAACTATTCCGTCCCTGTCTTCTTCGCCGAGTACGGTTGCAACGAGGTCACACCCCGCGAGTTCACCGAGGTGAAGGCCCTGTATGGTGATACCATGGCTGATGTCTGGTCCGGCGGTATTGTGTACATGTACTTCCAGGAGGCTAACAACTACGGTAAGAGAATCCCTTCCCCACATATATGTGAGGGTAACTGATCAGACTCATAGGTCTGGTTTCCGTCGTCGATAGCACCAGTGTCAGCACCATGGACGACTTCAAGTACTATTCCAGCCAGATTGCTAGCGCCAATCCCACTGGTGTCAAGAAGGCCTCCTACACTCCTGCCAACACCGCCCTGCGAAGCTGCCCTACTGTCGGATCCACGTGGTCCGCCGAACCTTCCCCTCTGCCCCCTATCGCCGATATCCAGTTGTGCGACTGCATGTACGATGCCTCTGCCTGCGTTGTCGCCGATTCCCTCTCCTCGACGAAGTACGCGAAGCTGTTCAGCACTGTCTGCGGCTACACCGACTGCAGCGGACTGACAGCCAATGCCACCACCGGCGAGTACGGTGCTTACAGCATGTGCTCGACCAAGCAGCAACTTGCCTTTGCTCTGAACAAATACTACGTTGAGCAGAACCGTGCTGCCGATGCTTGTAGCTTCGCCGGATCTGCAACTGTCAAGTCCGTGACTAAGGCCACTGGCACTTGCTCTACACAGATGAAGGAGGCTGGAACTGCTGGGACCGGAACTATTACTACCGAGAACACTGGAACCGCTGGCTCCGGTTCTGCTTCCTCGACGGCCTCGTCGACCACGTCTAGCAGTGGCGCTATCAGCATGCACCCCAGCTCATCCTGCGGCTCTTTCCAGGTGGCTGCCTACATTGCCACCGCACTCCTGGCGGGTGTTGCAATGATCGCTCTGTGATTGAGTTGATCTTGATTCGTACATTCTCTTCTCATTTAGACCGCGCGCCTGTTTTCCTTTCTCATCCCGACGTTTCTGAAAGTAAGCCTCGGAGCAAGACATGATCGATATAGCTAGTAGATAGCCATATTTGATTGAATTTGATTTGTAAGCCCCATGTGCTCGCGACCTTTCTTTTTAGCAATTTCAACTGTTCCTATCCATAATTTACTTATCCCCAAATCCGTTGCACATGCCATTCCACGAATTTATCTTGTGGCTTCCAAGACCGGGGGAGCATAATCCCAACCGCTGCAGCTGGCGTAATCTGGGCCATTCTATCTACGAGGGCCACAGCAGGAATCCATCGACGCTAAATCTTGTTGTTAATGACCATCCGTTTCCTTCTATACAAAGTCAATATTTGTTTTGTCTGGAGCCATCGGTTTCAAAACTGATAATCGACAGTATATATATTATTTACTGGAGTCCTTATTTATATACTGGAAAGGAATCACCCCTGCATTCTTGCCATGTTATATCCTGTTGAACTCGAATGGAATTTAACGGAACCTCGTCCTCAGACCCATCATGGGAGGCATCCAGCTGGACTCCATTTTTATTACGCGGCTCATCGGACGGTCGTAGAGCAGAATTTTGTAACTCATAACCTTTAGAGTGGTTGACATCCGTCGTCCGTGTTCTTTGCGTCCCAGACTGGCTGGAGAATTTGGATGAAATCATCATGAACAACGGGCGCAGGGTTGGCATACAGGCGGAGATAATACCTGCTGAGGATTCGACGATACACCAAGTGCAGGGACTTCCGAGTGTCCAGGCAATATCCGTCGGGTCGAACTCAAAAGGGTAGTGAAGCGATAGATACTGGTGAAGATAACGCTGTGCGAAAGAGTCAGTCTGCTGTTACAGACCAGTAGCGATGAGTAGGGGTATACGGACAAACTACCCAACAGAAAGATGCCAATTACGGACAATCGGTGCGTGAGGCTTGCGTGCAATCTCCACACCACCCGTACAGGTAGAGACAGAATGAGAATATCGGTGACAATGTTGGGTACCGCATTCCCGATGAACGAAGCTTTCAGGTTGATACAGGTGCCGGGAATGCGCGTGTCCCAGGCTCGCGCAATCGGAGTGCATTGGAAGATGCTCACAAGGATAATAGCGATGCACCACGCAACGGATATCCCACCCAGGATCATGGAGGCAATGCGGATTTCTCTCGTGGGGAAGATGCGACAGTACATGAGCAGGATAGACACTTTGATGACTGCTATCGCTATCACGTAGATGCACTCGTACACTACCAGGAGCTACGTGGATATTAGCGGAGTCAACTTCGTCTAGAATTCGAAACCAACCTTTGCAATCATGATGATATTTTTTCGTCGGCAATATCTCTGTACGCAATCCCATGCCATAATTCGTTACTATTGACGATTAGTATCAGAATCAAGGACCTCCCAGGGAAATATATCGTACAGGCTAGGCCCAACCCAGCGATAGTTAAGAAAGGAACCAAAGCGGCCACGATAACATAGTCGTCCAGGCCTGGCTTCAGTGACTTCTTCAACCGTGCCAAAAGCCGTAGAATTACGAACAGGACGCCCAGGACAGTCATCGCGATCATCCCGGCCCGATAGGACCCCTGGCGGCTATCTTGGGCATTGCTTGCGGTCATCGTATCTGGACCTGCAAAATAGGTGAAGACCAAAAACTCTTTTAAGCTGAAGCGGCAATAGTTTATTTAAGAATGCATTCCTATACAGCCTCAAATCCTCCAGCCTCAAGACACTCAGGGATCCACTTTGTTTTTATATCCACAATGGAGCGATAGATCGTATACCAAAGGTATCGAACGATCCATGGATAGTATGTATCGTTTCATATCTCACTGTTGCAACTAGTACTGTTCCGTACACCGCACTAAAACGGTGACTCGAATGATGAAATAGGGGTTTCTTCGCTTTGGACACTGGAGGACGTTATTTCTCCGGCATGAAATTGATGATTTAGACGTTTAAGGTTCATTCTGATAGCTCGATATGTGAAGGGGCTCTGTTTGATAGGTCATCCTGGGGACTCTGGATACTCTTCATGAGACATCAGATCGGGATATTAATCTCCCACAGCAAATTAGAAATAAGACAAGAACACGTGGAAAGGGTATTCCGCAAACAAAAGCAACAGTTTCGCTCAACTATGGCGGCGTGCGATGACCGGGTGGAATCTGACACAAATGCCAATCGATTTGGTGCAATCTCAAGCCGTTCTAATCAATTTGCTAGTGACGCCAGGAGCCTATCGCAAGCCGAGGCTCACCCGCGCTCCACCGTTGGCGCCAAAACGGCTGAAATCCAGGGGAAATAATTGAAACAATCAACAGAGCCAATCGTTCCTCGCACTAGTTGTGGGCCCTGCCCAGTTCAGTGAAAGGGGAGGTTGATCATTTCGCCAAGGCTTCTTGATTTCCCACCAGTTTGAGCATTGTATTCGTATTCGCCTTCGAAACACCAACAACTGCAAGATAAGTCATAAGCCAACTATGTCTGAGAAATCGGTCTTTGTCTTCGTGCCAGGCGCATGGCACGACGCAGACTCATTCGACGTCGTTCGGGATCTGATGCACAAGCGTGGACTTGCAACAGAGGCTATCTCCACCCCGTCCGTGGGCGCATCTACTCCAGATAAGGGGCTGCACGCCGATATTGAACATACTCATGCCATCCTCAAAGAGATGGTAGAAGCCGGCCGCCACATTGTGTTGGTGAACCACTCCTATGGCGGGATGGTCGGCGCTGGGGCTGTCGAGGGCTTGGGGCACGCGCAGCGGTGCAAAGCCGGTCTTCCCGGCGGCGTAATCATGGTAGTGTGGATGGCTGCATTTGTGACGCCCAAGGGCAAAACGTTAAGGGACATGCTGGGCGGAGACTTTCCTTCCTGGATGTTCACCAAGGTGAGCGGTTCATTTTCGGTTGTCCCCTTTGGTACGCAACTGACGAACGAAATATAGAACCCGGATGATGGATACTACTGGTCCTCCAGCCAAGAGACAATATTCTACAACGATATGTCTCCAGAAGAGCAGCAGAAGGCGATTTCCAAATTGAAACCGCAGACACAGAAGTCGTTCAACGAACCCGCTACGCATGAACCTTGGCATGAGATGCCTAGCATGTATCTCTTCTGCGACAAGGATGGAGCTATCCCGTTGGCTGTGCAAGAAAACTTTGCGCAAATTTTGGGCAACCCAGTGACCTACCATGTCAATGCATCTCACTCCGCATTCCTGAGCGTGCCAGAAAAGGTGATTGATGGGTTGGAGATTGCGTTGGAGGAATGCCGACAGCAGAGTGGGATTGCTGTGAACTGAGCTGGATGATTGTGGTCTGACTATATGTTATAGCATTAGATGATTGACGCAATCCTGGAAGATTCGTCCGACGTAAACCTAGGGCAAATGTTTCTTTCTTTTCATTTTTCTTTTCAATGTTTTGTGCTTTTCCATCCTAGGATCCCTTATCAAGTCCTTCATCGCCAGGCCAAATCAAGCCAAGTGTCCGTCTCGTCCATCTCAAGATTTCCATTTCCAAGCAAAGCAGCGTATCATGCCCAAAGAGGTGGCTCAAACAAAGGTCTACTCCGACTCCCCCCCCGGGGCGATGTTGGCCCGGAAGATGCGCTATAGTATAGGACTGTAAAGAGGCAGATCAAGGTGGGGTCTTCGCGGAGTTTATTCGAGGGTAACGCATTCTCGCTATTCCGACACTATTCCGAAAACTCGTCGTAATCCGCCTATAGGAAGGCGGTTGTAAAAAAGGAACAAGTGGACTATACGGCCAGGAAGAAGTCTCGAGCAGGGTATCACTGACAGGCTTGGTGGGCAGCGACCGGAGGAGATTAAACATGCCTATTAAGGCGATATGTAGGGGGGAGATCGGGGTGGGTATGACAGTTTTCGTCAAAGAAATCATCGCTCAGACTTTCCTACAGGACGATCAACTGAGGTCAGCCATTGTCCTGCCGGGCGAGACGTCCCGTTGCAGGTTGAATTTCCAGTTTTCGTTCCACGAGTAAGACTCACCTTTCCGGCAACGAACCCCCAAAAAGTCCGGCCAACCTATCGCAGACGACCACCTCGTCGTATACTCAAATAATCGCGGCACAGAGGATCGCTGAGTGTCGGGAATAAATTTGTTGATGGCGCTGGGAAGGGATCTCGGGTAGCTGTCGAGCTACCATTGATTTGAGTGGCGCTCGCATCGCGATAACTAGGGGGTTGGATAGCCTCTTCCCAAGGGACTGTTGGATATGGTACTGGTCGCACACGGCCGCTATAGACACACTCCTTCAGGCGCACACGGTTGGCACATCCTGGCTGTTCGCGACCGCAGCTAACCTTATGTCGTCCACAGACGATGCAACTGAGCAATAACCGGGGTCTCTTGATTTGGCGGGGCTCAGATAAGGGCATGTCTCAGAAGGGGAGATGACGATTCTTCGACTTCTCATCTGAGGGGGGATAGCGTTTTATTGTGATCATATTGGAGTTCACTTTATGCAGAGAAGAGGATGACGGGCTGCAGGGTTGGGCTAGCAATGGATTTAGCCCCCAATTAGATAACAATCGTCTGACCGATTATTTCACTATTCCACCAAACCCGACCTCGGGAGTGATATTTTGAGACTAACATGAATTCCTTTCCATGCTTGCTACAAAGGGAGGATGCGGTTTTGAAGAGAGAAATAAACAAATGGATTCAATCTTCACTCTATAATAGGTAGGAAAAGTTGGGGCCCATGTCATCTTCATGTTATAGCTCAGCATAGTACATACATATGTATGTAGTGCTTGCCGCGGTATACTTCAAAGCATACTAGTATAAGCCCCCGTATTGTAAAGGTATAGATCCGTCCAGCGCTGAGAGCTGTAATTGTTGCAGCTTGATATTGGAAAGCACTAAAAGCCCAGACCCGCTAAGGGAGGACAGATCATCAACTGCTCGTGTATTGAGTCCACACCTTGAAACGGATGGCGGCGTTTTGACTTTTCAATATGGTCTGTGGAGGGCTTAGCCCAGACTCGGAGATGCTTCATGCTGGATCATCCAATAAAAAGCACCTCCAAAACTTTGCCCATTTATTCATGGATAGTTGCGTTGCTTAGTTAGGGCTGGGCACGGGCAGATGGCTGACAGGTCCTTTCCCAAGACATCTCGGCACTCTCCATCTCTCACATTCCTTGATCACCATATTGTGCAAGGGCTTCTTCTCTTCTTTTGTATAGAATTGGATGCAATTTATGGTTTCGATCCGTGGAAACACACAGGCCGACCCGTACCAGTTCTCATGTCGTCAAATTAACTGCTTTGTTCTTTTCACAGAATTTGTCAGCTCTGTGCACTTCAAGCACAGTAATTAAGCACATAAATTCTACGACTAACTAACTAGTTAATCAAAATGTGTTATATAAGACCCAACATTAATGAAATCAAATTTCGTACTAGAGGAGAGTTGGTGAATACCTTTTAGCACCTAAGCAAGGGTTTTATATGGTCAAAGTGATCGCAAAGTGAGCGAATACCAAAAGCATAGTGAGAAGAAGGTCAGTGGAAAATAATTGAAGCGGAAGGAGAGGTGAGCTAGAGAGCCACGAAAATAGACGTCTTTTGTGACTGTAATCGAGGTCGATTATTTCCTTCTAGATGTCCCTAAGGTAGTAGACATACAGTACAGCGAGTACAATCTAAAGATTTATATGTCTATGTATGCATCGGTATAGACGCCTATTATCGGTAAGTATGGACAATGGCACCTACTTCCCCAGCGGACAGCTACTGTAAAATGCGTTACAAAAGAGACTTTAGATGGTTATACTGCTTCTCATTTCAGGTGGAGGCCTGTGGCCATACTCTCACACAAAAATGTATTGAAGATACACCTTAACGGCGGCGGCGGCGTGGGACATGCAACTTGTCAAGCTTGGCGAGAATTCCCGCTGCACCTGCAGCCCCATATCCGCCCTCCCTCCAGCAGGTCTCAATGATGTCCCGGGCCCAAAGTCGCTTGCCCAGGGCAGGGAGCATATCCCGGGATGGAAACCTGGCGACAGCGTTGTCACTGCCACCGTTGTCGTAGAGACTGATGCTTGTCATCCTTCCAGTCGCAATCTCGTAGAACACAAGACCCAGCTGGCAAAGATCTGTCCAGATGGAGCAATTGTATTCATCCACCGCATTCGCCATGATAGTGTCGATAGGCATAATACTCGACGCACCGAGATCGCAAATCGCGACGTTCAACGAACCATCCAGCAGAATGTTGCGACTGAGAATATCACTGTGGATGACACGGCGTTGATGAAGATTGTGGAGACCGATGGCAAGCTGGCGAAACCACCGCTTCTGAAGCTGGATGCTAGGTCGTGCTCTGTGCTCCAACCACTTTGAAAGCGTACCTCCAGACATGTACTTCATCTCGATGGTATCTCCGGGAAGGTCGAGACATTGGACGATGCCTTCCACTGGGGTCTCGAAGTCGGGCTGAATGCGCCGCCAGACTTCTTGCTCTCGTCGGATCTTACTGCGGTTCTCTTCCACTTCCTCCAACGTGTAATTCGCGTACACAATTGCCATTTTGATTGCCATATCGTCCCGGTGGGCAACAAGTGCTGCATCACCACTCGCAATGATTGTATGAAGCTGGATGTAGTGACCCTCATCGTCGATGGGGCAATATACAGAGTTCATGGTGGATAAAGTAATTTTGGTTGAGTGCTGTTGATTAACTTTCGTGACAGGAGTACATATCTTGAGAAAGAGCTCTTTTTCTTTTGCTGGGCAGGCCCAAGTTGGCACATGCAGTGGTTAGCTTGAACAGATCGGTCGGAAGGGGATGTCATACCTGTAGAGATTGTGTTTATTTGAGGTTTGTGTTCGAGAGGACGGGTACAGTTCGGAGACTGGATCTTGCACGGTCGTTGAGTATGCTCTGAAGAGAACAAAGGAAAGGTGCAGACCGAATAGCTGGAATTTGTCGCTGTCGACTGGTTAGACAGGGATCGTGAGTTCTCCAGGATGCTTGAAGGAAAGGTGTGTGGTATGAAGTCTGGAAGCGTCCGAAATGTGTTTGGTTGCAACTGGAAACAAGCGCCTTTATGGTGACGTTTTGAGGGGATGGATGGTCACAAAGAAAGGAAGCGAGGTGGATGAAAGCGAGATGGATGAAAGGAAGATTAATGATAGTGAGATGGATGCCTTTGACAAGACGCTTTTTCTCCTTCATCACCGCCTCGAAGAAATTGCTTTATATCCTCATTTTTCCTTCTTTGGGAGGGTCGGGGTTTCGAACCGAATGCCTTGTCTTTTGAACCAAAGTGGAACATCAATCATGCTCCAATTGGTATATTAACATGGTTCAACTGGGTGATATTCGACTTTGGTTGAACATGATGTTGTTTTTCTGCCCTGACAACATATCGGACTGTATATGACCCATAGTAGAAGGGTGCTGACCTTCAAAACACAAAGTCTCAAAAGCCAAGAGTGTATAAATCGTCACATATTCCCGTTTTGTGGACCTTCATAGTATCATAATGTGTCCACAGGTCGCTTCTCCGAGCTAATGCGCTTTTGTGGTATCATGAAAGATGGTGTCAAACTTCCAGCGGAAACCAGCTCAATGCGTAAAATCACCAAGTATTCAGCAGTATTCAAGTTAAACCCTGCTAATTTGATTGTCTAGAGATTCAGTTAGTCAAAAAGTAATACGGAGTTCATTTAGCACGGGGAGTGCCCAGCCATGGCCTGTATCCTGTATCTATACGCAATGGACGTACGCCCTTGGTCGATGACAGGCTGAGGTGGACTTCATAGGGGATGTTGGGGACAACCTAAGAGGGACTAATCTCGGCAACTGATTCATAAGACTGTGAGAGTATGAAGGGAAAGTAATTACTTGGGGAAAAGGATAACAATGCAAGCTGGGAGAGTCCAAACAAATTGGTAAGCGATGACATCGTGCCATGACATCGCGATGAATGAGGACCCTGGCGGGAAAACAGGCATTTATAAATTCTGCTTCTTTATACATTCTACATGCCAACAATGCATATACAAAACGTTGGTTCGTATACAAAACGTCAGTTGGTCTTATATCTCGTTCTAAGTCTAACTGCTTCTAACATCGCCCCAAACGCCCATCACTTGAAGTGATTGTCTCACGTATTCATCACTCATTCACAATTAATCGATCTACTGCTCGTTCGTGAGGACATAGCGGTAGCGAGCATCACCACTATCCATATCCACAATGGCCTGATTGGCGTCCTTCATTGGGCGTTCCTGGATCCAAGGCTTGACGCCCTTGGCAGCAGCCAGCTCCAACATCTCCTGGATTTCATCAGGGCTACCGATCAATGAGCCACCAAGCTTGAGACCCTTGATGATGAGCACGAACGCCGGGATCTCAAGAGCGCCATCCTCGGGGGCGCCGAGCTGAATGAAGGTACCGCGAACACGCAGAAGGCCACAGTACTTGACAATAGGCATCTTGGACGAGGAGGCAGTGGAGATGATCAAGTCGAGAGAGCTAGCGTGGCGGGTAGCCCAGTCCTCATCCTCGCCGGTAGCGATGAAGTCATCGGCACCAAGCTTGAGCGCATCCTCCTTCTTATCAGATTTTCGGGAGATAGCAACGACGCGGTCAGCACCGAGCGCCTTGGCGAACAAGATAGCAAAGTGACCAAGACCACCGACGCCGACAACACCGACAGTCTTTCCAGGGCCGCAGCCATTCCGCTTGAGGGGCGAGTAGGTAGTAATACCACCGCAGAGCATAGGCGCGGCATCGGCAGAGGAGATAGCATCCGGGATCTTGATAACGAAGTGCGAAGGAGAGCGGTTGTATGTGGAGTAACCACCGTACGACTTGCCACCGTTGGCATAGGTACCGTTGTACGTGCCGACCATCTTACTGCAGTGTTGTTCGAGACCAGATGCGCAGGATTCACAGTCCCCATCCTTGTTCTGGCACGAGCCGCTCTGCGCGCCGACACCGACACGGTCACCGACCTTGATATCTCCCTCAGCCTGGGTTCCGACGCGGACAGCTATTCCGACAACCTCGTGGCCGACGCAGCAAGGGTAGTTGGTGGGGCCCTATGCAAGACCGGTATTAGCAATGTGATTCAATTTCGAATATGCTCAAGGGGGACGCGCCATACCCATCCACTGCGCAGAGTATGCAAATCCGAGCCACAGATACCACAGTGAGTGACCTTGATATCGATATCTGTCTCCTCCCATGGCTTGGGCTCGAATTCCTGCCAGACCATCTTTCCCTGGGCGGCTTCGGGGCCGAGGCCTACCCAGCCTTCGAACTTGTAACCGGTGGAAGACATGATAAAAATGTATAAAATTTCGATTCAATGGATTGAATGGAGATGATCTACGAGCCATTCCTCCAGGGTCCTCCATTCTTTTAAACCACCCACGCGGTGAGATTGAGCTCCGTCTCGGAGGGTTCTTCAGATGTTCCTTTGTGGCAACGTAATGATCATCGTGAAGAAAAGGTCCACTTGACCCGTGAAGTGGATTGTCATCAAGTGGGCTGTCATCACGCACGGTCTTAATTTGTGTTATGTCCGGCGAAGAGATTTCACTTGGAGGCGAATACATCGTAAACCACCAGCAATCGGTGATAACGTGGTGAGCAATAGTGTTGCTATCGGATACATGTTTTCGGGAAGCACCTAGTATGACTTCGGTATCTACTTACCCTGGGGATTTAAGATGCTTAGTGCTTCGGACTTAAAGAAATGCCAAGCCTCTGGTTTGTGCCGGCTTATGTCCGACAGGCTTGTTTTGTATTGGTCAGGGCCGATCGGAAGGGGAAAGGAGAGTTCCAAAATGACTGGAAATGCTTTTAATTCGACAGGAGATTTATTCTAGTGGGGAATCTTCATAACTGTTCATGATTATTCATCTGTCGTCAGTTCCAGGGTTTCGTCAAGCTTTCGCCTCCCCAATATGCGAACGAACCGCCTTTTGCTGGCGGAAATAATACTGAACGCAAAGGACAAAAGTAAGGATCCACGAGGCACCAGCAATGGAGCAAATTGCAGTGAGACCATGCAAGTACTTCGGGGCATCGGAAGTGCGGAAGATCTGCGACCCAGCGATACCAGCACAGTTAGCAGCCATGACCACCAACGCCATGGCAACACTTCGTTCCTGGGGTGTACGGCAGTAGAATGATAGCCAGCCGACATTTAGGATACTAGCATCTGGTCAGAGCGGGTTATAGACACGGGGACAGGGAACTTACTGCATGCTGCAGTAGGAGATGTTAGCGACAGCAATAACACCGTACCGGTGCCATTGCGAATCGTGAGGATCGTTTGTACGAAGACAAGCGTAGGAAATCACATTCCAGGTGATGGCAAGAAGCACAAAGGGTCCACGGTGTCTCGTTTTGTCTCTGTCAACAGTTAGAATCCGTTTCATCACCATACACTACTCATAGAAAGCACCCACGCAGCAAAAGACAGAGCAATTAACCATATCATACTACAGTAGACTGGAACCGAAGCCAAGGCATTTGCCTTGACGGCACCGAAACCCAGCGCTTTGATCATGCTGGGCGTATATTGGGTTAAACCAGAGAAGCCAGACATGGCCACCAAAGTCACGAAAACGTGTTGCAGGATGCGCGGCTGCTTGACGGTCTGCCAGATCTCAGAGCCTGAGATCTGGATATGGCCCTTGGCTTTGAGAGGATCATCTAGCAAAACGCGGTTGCGAATGATGTATGACTCGCGCTCGGTGAAGTAGCTCCAGCGCCCGAAAGCGATCAATGCACGCCCATCTCCAGCCGATGGAGGCACGAGGAGAGTGAATAAAATTGCGATGAAGAGGGTTATTAATCCCTCGACTGGAGTGTTCGTTAGACGAGCTCGGGTTGGCAGGATATAACTTCGATCTGCACTTACCCAGGAAAATCCATCTCCATCCCTCCATGCCATGGGTGCCATTCAGCTGAAGAAGTCCGGCAGATATCAAACTGGATGTGGCCGATGCGAACATCTGCCCGTAGAAGAAGAGACTGGTGCGAAGACTAGTCTCCCCCTTCTTATACCAGGTGGAAAGGTAGTATAGAGCGCCTGCGGGTTGTTAGTCGATTATCCAAGTACAAGTAGCAAATCGCCATACCAGGAATAAACCCGCCCTCACACAATCCCAACAGAATTCTCGTAACCAGGTACGCAGGATACGACTGAACAAAGGCCTGGAACGTAGCAACCAAACCCCAAGCGAACAACTGCCCCGACAACCAGATACGGGGTCCAATTCGCTGCATAATAATATTTGATGGAATTTCAGAGAGGACAATACCAGCGGAGAGCAACTGCGACCCGATATTAATTTGATTCGTTGTGATATTGAGGTCTTTTGTGATGGTTGATGTCAAGACGGCGCTAATATTGCCGCGATCCATTTGCAAGGCGAAGAACGCGACTGCAAGAATTGGAATGAGGGTAAAGTCGATTCTGACGGAGGTTATTAGCGAGATGTTTATAGTTGATGCGTGATAAGTACTATACGTACTTTCGTCGAACGGCTGATTCTTCCCCGTCCCAGTCTTTCACAATATGGTCAAGCTCACTTGGAGGCGAGTCGATGACCTGCTCACCTATTTTGTGTTTCTCGTCGAAGATGTCTTGGCCTGTCATTTCGTGACTTGAAGCAGCTTGCCAAAAAAAAAATCGAAAAATAACAAAGCAACGAGTATATGGGGACGATCAGGTCATAGATTGGCGAATTATAAGAACACTCCTGGGGGCTGATCGACTACTCTTATAGAAGAGAGGAAAGACATAGGGATACAGGATTGCGTAGGTTAATTTACTAGAAATGTGCTAAAAGGAAGTTAGAATGCGTGCCAATGCGACTTTTGATGTCGCGACACGGGGAGATATGGCGCAATCACGTATCTGAGGGGATTTGCCGAGCATTGGGGACTATCTGCCCGTTATTAGCCTTGGGATATGGAAATTATTCTTTAATGCTATTTGACAGGAACTTTCTTTGACTTTTGCACTGTGTCCGAACTTCTATACGGATGTTCATACTTGCCGGCAACATCTAACCTCTTGCAGCGAAAAATACAACTGAATACTGAATAAATTTAACTATATCCATCAATCAATATTTACCATCTAAAATTAACTGTATTTAATTACACCCACACATCCCAGGACACGCCGTGTCGACTAGTCAACGGCACCTGCACACCCTCGGCTTCCACGATGTATCCCGCATCACACCAGTCAAATGAGACCTGAGGCTGTGCGGCATAGAACCCGTCATACTTCTTATTCAAGGCATGTTGGAGAGTACTAACTGGGTCTACCGGTTGGAGGACATCCCAAGGCTGGATGCAAGTCGCACCCTGGCAAGACTTGAGGACCATCAAAAGAGCGTCAAGTCGATTGATAGCCTGGTTTAAGCTGCGACCCAGAATGCGAGTCTCAGTAATATTCGCCTGGGAGGTGGTCGGGTACAGATTATTCAGCTGGTACGGATCGGTCTGCAAGGTAAGTCGTTGTGATGAAGAACCAAGGTACAATTTACTCACTGACAGATCATACAGTTCGTGTTCGTTGTTGCACCAGACCGAGTAATACAGATCGTAGCCTTCTCCGAGTAAGCGGACTGATTTGTAGGTGTTGTTTGGGATCCTGGTTGAGCCTCCGGGGCCTGTCTGGGAATTAGTATCACATCTCTCACAAAGCCATGAAAATGTTGCCTGGACTTACCAATGCCGCTATAAACACCTTCCGCAACAGAAGAACCCCAATACTCCACCGTAACATGTTCATGGCGCTCCCCCTCAAACTCCGGTGTCACAGGAATGGCCGTACCATCGAAATCATCCCTCGCCGCAATACCCGCAAGATGGAACAAAGTCGGCGCTAAGTCCACATGCGTAGTCACCGCGTCCTGCACATATCCCTTGGCAACGCCAGGTCCACGAATGAACAAGGGAACGCGAATATCCTCCTCAAACCCGCAGGTCTTCCCGGGCGGCAGTCTATGTTGGCCAATATGGAACCCATTATCCGAGGTATAGATAATGTAAGTATTGTCCAACTGGCCACTCTCCTCCAGCCGGGTGACAAGCACATCAACCAATTCATCAACACCCTGCAAGGCGCGCAGACGCGAGCGATAAAAGTGATCGTTATAGTCGACAACTGATTTGTTCTGCAGGGGTAGATCCTGAACCCAGCTGACTCCACTTGGCTGTGCAACAAAATAAGATCAGTCAGAATTTGGCACTAACCCGTTAATTCAAATCAAGGCCGCGCTTACCTGGTCTGGATTGAAATTCGCCGTGCGGGGTATCCTCACATCCTTGAACAAATTTTTGTGTCGTTCGAGGGGGATGGGCGCGGACATGTAAAAGTTCTCCGATGTGATATCGCTCGGATCGACATTCGAGTGTGGCGCGACGGGCGACACAGCCAGGAAGAAGGGCCTCACACCAGCTAAAGCATCATCAAGGAAACCCAGTGCTTTTCCGGTGATCACGTCGATGGTATGTTCACCTTCGTGGCTGACAGGTGGTTCATGATTTCGCTGGTAAGTCGAATTCAGGTAAGAATAAGTATAAGGATCGAGAAGAAAATCAGATGCATTAAATCCATTGATGTGCGGGCTGTGGTAGTTATCCACAGTATGCGCGTTGAACATTTTGCCCGTGTAATATGTATCATAGCCCGCCCCTTGCAGCCAAAGCGGGAGAAAATCATCGTTGAAGCCGCGGTCGACAAATTTGGGATATCCACCGTAGGGCGGGTGGACATCGGTTACATTTGTGTTGTGTGCCTGGCGACCGGTCCATAGACTCACGCGTGATGGACAGCATAGGGCTGTTGTAACGAAGTGGTTGCGGAAAAAAGTGCCCTGGTCGCGGATGTGTTTTGAAATTAGGGGGGTGTAGGATATGGAGTCGAGTTGGAGGTCTTGATCGTCAGTTATCACGAAGAGGATATTTGGTTTGCGTGATTGTGCTTCGCTATATTTTAGTATGGATTGAAGGGATGATTGCAGGTTGGACTGGAGATTGAGGGCAATAACCCCTTCAGCGGCGATGAGGCCAACAAGGGCAGTGATTAATTTCATGATGAGATGCTTGAAGGAGTACAAGAAAGATAAAGCTGTGCGAGTATATAACTAATTCAAATCAAATAGACCTCTCGGCAAATGTGGAGCTTTAAAATGTGGAGATGACGATGATGCCATCGATGGCCCCAATGGCGGAGATGAACGATGAAGTTATACGCTTCAAAGGGTTGAATATGGATTATAGATATTTCAGAGTCTTAATACGGTACAACAACGGAGAAATTATTCTCACTTTACTCTTTCTTTGAACCTTGGCTATATATATAAGTACATGTAGGTAGGTATGGTATGTAGGGAATGTAGGAAAAGGTGAAGTATAAAAGTGGATTGCGTGCTTTACAACAATGAGCACAATTTTTAAATATTTATCCGAAATATACGAAATCGATCTGAATTAAGACCGGGAGTTGCCGATATTCACTTTTTCCTTTTCTTAACTAGGCTATTCAGAATCTCCCATATATGGTTAGCACGGTGCGCCTATACTTCTTCGCATATGTATCGAACACACAAGAGGTAATTCCCCACTTTGGAATATAACAGCAAACATAGTGGCCAATGAAACAGAAACACCGAGGCCGTTAGGGGATACTGACAGTATGGAAAATCCTTTTCGGTCAAAATGGCGAAAAGCAAACCTAAGAAGAAGGCCGGCTAGTGCCGTGGCCAGAAGGCAACGAAGTCGCAAAGGAAGTCCGCGGTTCCCAAAATAACAGTGAATGACTCCAACACATCAAGTAAAGAAGTAAAGGACGCTCCACTGCAGATGTCCCAAGTGCTCCGAAGAAGTCCCCCTCTGCGGGGAAAGAATTAAATAGGGGAGATCGGCATTTTTTGGGTTGCCAAAGAACTTAAAAGGCAGACAACCTTCCAATAACAAATTATTTAACAAGCACATTGTTGTCGTTCTTAGGAGACTTGGCCTGCGAGCGAAACTCCAGTCTGGGGACTCATACTTTGCGGTTGTGATAAACACAACTGTCAATGAGGACAGAGCCCTTCCCGTTGGGGAAAATGCTCTCGCTTGGAGTGGAGGGAGTGACACTGTCAACAATGCCGTTCGATGTTCTAAAGAGGCCGCTAACACTATTTGAACGGCTCGGGGAGGATATGAGAGTACAACGGAGAGGACGGCGGGATAGGTAAGCACATTTTAGTGGCTAAAGACGCAGAAGCCTTCTTTTTCTGAGGTAGTGGTTAAGCAGGTGGTTCGGAAGGACATTCCAAACGGCCAATTCGTGGGAAATTCGGATAGTCCAGCTGCATCGAGAAGCAGCGAATGATGGAGGATTTCCGCCTGATCACCTGTGAACCAATGTAGATTTTGTCACGAGCAGCTGGAATATGAAGGAATTCGAAGACATCAAAAAAGGTACGAAGAAAGAAAATAGGTATTATATAATGCTATCTTAGTTGTCCACGGGCGTCTCCCTTTCCTCTTTCTCTCACTTTCATTTCTCCTTCTCATCACTTCTTATAACTGAATTCCATCACCTCTTTGCTCTTTTCATCTTCTTTATCTCTGCTTCACATCATCCATACTTCGTCTCGAGGGTGGCTACCCCCTTCTGATATCATTTCTCAGCCATGGGCAGGAGGCTCATCAAGATTTCATCGTACCTTCTAGTTTTACCGCCCCAGCCGTTGAACTGATCCCAGTATGGAAGACACATAGTAAGACAAGACCTCCCTTCCTAGGACGGCATTATGAGAATCACACGTTAACACAGATAGTCAACCGCCCCCCACCAATTGAAGGGGAGACGTCGTGGCACCCGGGCCCTAGGCGGGACATGTTCGAAACCTTCTGTTACGCGTCGCTATAATAACTACCTTAAGGAAAGGTACCTAGACTCGCTGCTCGCCCGTCCCAGCCAGCGTGAGCCTTACCTCAGGGTAGGCCACCACTAGGCCGCTTAGTGATTCGACGAACATCAAATTTTCCCTAGCGTATACGAAAGGAGCTTTGATGTAGGTAGTCGGCGACTGAAACGTGATCCGTTACACGTTATGTCTACGTGGCGGAGGTACATTCTTCCACTACGTGGTTGTACGGGGAATTACGCAAATTGTCATTAGGCAGGCCGGGACAACTGCTGCCACTATCGACGGACTTGCACAAACACCTCGACTTCAAACACCTCTCCTCCGGTAATCCCTCAGACCGATACTCACCCGACTGGCCAGCTCTCGCATCGACGTGCACTCCTAGAACACCAAGCTCTGCCAATAGAGCGCTTCAGAAGAGCGTTGACGAGATTTACAACGCCCATGTCGAACAGCAGGAGCCCATTCAAAAGGCATATTATGATGTTGTGGACGTTCTAGATGCCCACGCCCGCAGCTAGACTATTTGCACTGCGTGTCGTCATCCGATGGTTGCGACTTTCGGTATCTCTAATTCTGCTGTCTCCTTCAAATGGTTATCCATACTCAAATGAAATTGTCAGACTGAGATTATCCTAGTACCTAGTAGGGTAATATCCTCATGGTATAACGGTAGGGTATCTAATATCCTCATCCTTTCGAGTTGCTATCATTCTCGGCTCCCCCTGAAAAGAATAGGCTTCAAAAAGCCATGGTAACCATGATGCTTATAATCCAAGAAACAGAAATAGTTCTCTCTACGGAATCTGAGGAACTACGATACCTACATATGTAGGTATATGAATTCTCTTTGAACTGTGGTATAGAAACTTCTTGAAAGCTTTGGAATCCGAATCTGAGTTTTTCTACCTGGATACTTTATCTTCGAAGTAATATTGAACAGTTGGCCACGAGAATTTGATCCAAATCTGTGGGAGCACAAACTCTTCATCCTCCCACATCCCCAAATCCAAGACTCCATCTCATCCCTTAACGCACAGAGGTACGCTATCGCAGGTTCACCCCCCAGCCTACTACTCCAATCAAGATGTCCATCTCTCTATTCACCTTCATCTCCCGTATTTCGAACGATCTTGGAAGAAGTCCGGATTTCTAAACGTTGAACAGGCTCCACACAATGACAAACCCCGCTTCCCGTCTCCTAAGATAAAGGATGTTGTGGTCAACATCATGCGTACGTTGGGGTCGATCGATCACGTAAGTCTCACTAATCTGAGATTCCGCGCCTAGGAGTCTCCTTTAGGGTCTTTGACCCGAACGACGAAGATTACTCGGGGTTCGAGATGCAATGGCTTTTTAAGCCTATTTCAAAGGAGTATATCAATCCATGGAAGATCTCGGCCTCTGAGGCCGAGGCGGTGCAAAGTAGCCTCAATATCCGGATTTGGTTCGTGCGTCGCAGGGTCGGCCAGACTGGGACATTCCAGGCGCCACACAAAAGGTGTCCAACTCTATCATGGCACAGTTCCGCTTTCGCCGCAAACCGAATACTCGCCTGAGGAATACATTCGGGTGGAGTGATATTGAGTAAGTGTATTAGTGCACATTCATGATTCTTTATAAGGGGTAGTCAGCTGCTAGCGTATAGCTTTGGGGAGTTCGCTGGCGGTAACGAGGGATCGCTTTTCTCTACGGAGGGAAAATGTCGAGGTGTTGACACCCCAGGCTGGAGAACTTGCTCGCTAGAAGAGCGGTGGGACGGTGAAGTCCTCCGTCCGTTTCATCCTCCGCACGGATGGGAACGGCGAGGAAAACAGTCTACTACTGAGTGAGCTGGGGGCAATCGCTCAGGTCGTTGCATTCCGCCAAACCCAGCCAGGGTTCGAGACATTTCGCTTATTCCCAGTGAGATAAACTACATAAACTACTATTACCTAGCTATGCTAATGATCCCTTCTATATAGGTACTCTTGATTTCAATTTTCCGGCCTCGGCACGGGCGGATCATCCAAGCCGGCGCGGTCATAAGCTTGAACTTCGGATCTCTTGCTTTGCCACCAAGGGCGATGCGGCATTCGATACATTCCTTCGATTCACAGCGAGCTACCCACCGGAGATAGCAAATCCGCACTTTTCCACATCTCTCTATAATAGTGAAGCACTTGTATATGATGCCCTCCCTAATAGATCGAGATCTCTTTTTAGATGTCTCTCTTGAGCCTCCTCTGGGAGGTCTTTTCATCTTTCATTCTTGGCTTCCCAATCACTATAAACTACAGGTATACATTACGATAAATAGATTCTGTAGTATGCCTATGTTATACATTTCCACAGTTGTCAGGTGACAACCTCGGCGACTCCCAAAGGGGAAGGCAAAATCTCCGTCTCCCCACTCCCAGACCCTTTCCGACCTCTTGGCCTTATCTCCCAAGACATTTCAAATGCCAAGAGCTTGGGCGCAGTTTCCTGTCAGCCCTACCCCAATCACATCTCCCAGGGCCCGATATTATAAGCTATTCCTTACGTACTATTGGATTGGCTGGACTAATGCAGACTGGGGCGCCCATATTTTCCTTTTCAGGGGGTGAAGTTCATTTCTACAAATGGAAGTGCCCCAGCTGCTTTGAACTGTGATCTACAATTTCCGGGTCCAATATCTCCAATATGCTCGGGCTTTCCCGTGCATCGCTGACCGCGCCACTGCTAGCCGTATGGCTATGCTGCTCTAGTAAGTAAAGTTTTCGCGTGTTTGTTATGAACTCCTTGCCCAGAACCTGGGACTTACCTCGCCAGATGCTTTCGCTGCCAATTGCAGCTCAACCTGGATCAAGTCCGAGGCTGATGCAGATACGCTTCGTCAGAACTGTCGAATCGTCTACGGTCACGTTGGAATCGGTCCATTTACCGGCAATGGCACGGTCCATATCAACCTCGACGGTGTCGAAGTGATTGCAGGTACCCTCGGGGAATCTCCTCTTATGGGGTCCGATGTTATTCAGCCCTATTACACCCTCTCCAGTTCATCTTTAGAGGCAGTCGACGCAGTCGAAATTGGATTCTACAACACTAAAGTAGTAAACCTCACGCTTCCTAGTCTCACATCCGTGAGGACCTCCATTGATATAGGGAGACGTGCCTACGATCTCACCTACCTTGATATCTCGAGTCTGAATTTCGCGCACACCATTACGCTTAGCCCCCCGAATCTCACGTCTCTCCGCCATACAAGGTTACGCAATGTGACAATGATGAATATTGACGCAATGCAAATCGACTCGCTCGATAGTTTGACTGATAATCAGCTCAATATGAGGGAGGTTTTGATTCAAGGTCCATTCCCGAATGTCAACGAAATTGCTATTGGATTCACTTCTGCCGGATACCTCCACATCAACGACAATTCATCTCTCACACTAGGAGGCTCCTCGAAAACGGAAATGGCCATCGAAAAACTGAACGTCCATGGTATTACGGATCTCAAGCGAAGCGCACAGCTCAAGACACTCAAGGTTGATACTCTGGAGCTATCAAGCTCCATTTCAATCACCCATCTTGAAATTCCGTTCGATAATCTCCGTTCTCTTAGTATCCAGCAGCAATGGGAGACCCATCCTCTGAAGTCTATTACTCTTCCCCCCAAAGCCGTGTATTGGACAGGAGGCTTTGAACTCTACGCGCTCGCTGCACCCGATCTGAATTTGACCTCGGTTTACGGTGCGAACCAGAAAGGCAATGGCATTCAGACTTGGTACTGGCCAAAGAATGTCTCGAGTATAAGTATTTCCGACGTTACTGTAGGAAATGCATTCTTGTATGTGTCACTCCCTCGCAGCCTTAGAGTGGTCATGAAAACTTACCCAAAAAACAGCGATCCCTTTATCACCCAGCAGAAGGGCTCTTTGGACGGTCAATTTCCTCCTTCCGTCTTGAATGAATTCGGAGTCAGTCCATCAGCCAACTCTAGTTTCAACTGCACGCCATTCGTTGAGCTCCAGAGCATGGGTCGTTTGCCGGGCGCTCAATTCATGTGCGACGATTCCAAGCCGACCAGCAGCGGCGCTATTCCTGTCCATCTACCCATTCCGCTCAGCCATGTGAGTGCCGTGTTTGGGATCTGCATCTGGATCCTATGAACGAATCCCCCAAATACAAGGGCCACACGGTGTTTTACCGTAAATTGAGCAGCGAAGCCCATTTATCTTTTTCTCAATAGGAACGATATCCATGTATATTTTCGACTTTGTGATCAAGTTAGCAATAAAACATACATTATACTGTTGAAGGTCGTACCTATTAAATAAATTCATAATCCTTTCAACCTCTTGGATATCATAATACTTGTCTTTGCTGCCCCGGCACTCCCCTTCCAACACACTTGCACTTTTCATACTGCTACTCCCAGCATCGACACCACGTTGCACGTTGTACATATTACTCTCACTTTGAAGTTACTTTGAGCTCACTTCGAGCTCACTTCTCCATCACTTCCTTATCACTACTTTATCACTTCTCATGCAATTACCCATCACTTCCCCAGCACCAATCACCAACCCTCACTTCGAACTCAGCTTCATAATCACGGACTCTCCAGCATTCCACCCATCCATTACATCACAGCCACGCCAATGTAATGGCCATGGATCATTCACATGTCAAAGCAAAAATGAAGGCGATCGATCTCCCCTGTGACAACATCTGGACAGTTTAGAGCGGGCAAGTTGACCCAGGTGGAGTTTCATGCATGTTTCGTATTCCCAGTGAGATAAATTGTCTCAACCTGACTCCTCTAGCTCTGCTAAAGATCCTTTTATATAGGTACTTGCTTTCTCCGTTTCGGCCCCGAAAGGGCGTATCATCCAGGCTTGCTACGACCGGCGCGTTGATAAGCTTGAACTCCGATCGCGCTACCTTCAGAAGCCTACCAAGCGAAGCCATTATCCGACTAACGGTCAACATGCTACTTGTCTATGCTCACAATACTGTCACGTTGAGAAATTCGGCCGCTGCTCGTTCTCCTTACTTACAGGCGGAGAGGCAATGGGGCTACGGTCCAGTGGAACGAGACAACCGGATGCAGTGCACTCAACGTCAACGCCCGAGCGGTCCTCCGCTTTGACAAGGCTTCCAAAGAAGCGACCTAGGAAGAACATGCCTTGATTCACCGCTAGGAGCGGTATTCCCAAATATGACCCTAGCGGCAAAACCAGAACCCTAGGGTACGGGAATGGACCCCCATCAAAAGCCTTTTCAAGCGGAATTCAAGCCCGGGTTACCTTTTAACACGAAAGTTGACGGCTAGTTTACCGCAAGAGATGGCTCTGTCAGCGTCATAGTTGAGGCTAAGAGGTCCTGGTGGAGAGTCCACGAGCCCGCGGTATCAATGCAGGAAGCAGCTGAACTGGTCGCATGGCTGACGGATTTCAGCCATTCACAACCGGTAGCAGTCCCTTTTTATTAATTAGAGGCTGGCCGTTTGAAAATGCTAACATTATAATATATAGGCGTCGTTTCCTTACCTCCCAAGACGGCCCTGAGATGTTTATCACCGTGGCCAGTTTTAACGATACTATGTCCACTGGCTAAGAAGTAAGCGAGCTATTAGCCTGCCGAAGGATAGCTTTCTCCACATGACCCGATATGGGCCATGGTTGATACAGCGCGACGAGGAAGTCGCGGAATTCGCCGCGATTGTCCTTGAGATCGTGACTTCGGTCGATAACCGAAGGACGACCAGATCATCTCTTTTTCTTTTTTGTTTCGTTTGCTCTCCGTCTTTGCATTCTTAGCATGGGCCAAGATCTTGTTTCTCCCTCATCAGTATCTTCAATGAGGATTATCAGCTATTTCCAATGTTTTCCAACTTGTCAAAGGGCGTAGAGAGAAGAATGAATGGTACCCGACTTCCGAGGGCTAAACCCAATTGGGAAGGGCATTGCGTGCTTTACAACTTCGATGAGCACTTAGAAGGACTTGGATGATATTTATCGCTGAATTCCCCTAAATACTTTTCTCTGGACTCTCTCCAATTCACAATATGGCCCATATAGAAAGCGACACGATTGAGTCGATGTCTCCAGGTATCATTGGGACACAGAGTATCAATGCGAATAGCCACGCCCAAGACGAAGAGAGTCCATTACTCCCGCGGTCTGACACAGAGTCTAAGTTTAAGCCTTTGGCAGGTGTTGGGACAGTTATTGCGGTGCTTCTGCTTGGTGGGAGAATTTTCAACTCACGAAGACCGGAGATCTAATCAAATATAGGCGAATTCATTTCTAATGCCGATGCGACACTGGTCATGGCGGCGGCAGGCCACATTTCCTCCGAATTTAACAGGTTACGCGATGCTAGCTGGCTCTCAACAGGCTATACGTTAGGCCTCTGTGCTGCGCAGCCAATGGTGAGTGAGCACAACCCGTATCGTAGGCATTCAATGGTCTGATTATCATTATCATCCAGTATGGAAAACTGAGTGATATATACGGACGCAAGCCAATATTGCTGCTCTCATATCTGTTATTCGCAGTGGGCTGTATAATGAGGTAGGCCGATACTTGAACAAACAGCTGAGATACAATTCTGACCACATATAGTGGCCTCGGGATCCATATGTGGGTAGTGATTCTTGGTCGTGCGGTCAGCGGAATGGGTGGTGCGGGAATCATGACCATGAGCTCCATTATCATTACCGATATCGTGCCTAAGCGCGAGGTCGCTACTTGGAGAGCGTATGTGAATATCGCCATGACACTTGGACGTAGTCTTGGAGGTCCGCTGGGTGGTTGGCTGAGCGATACTATCGGATGGAGATGGTGAGATTCAATTATCTGACAGCTGCATCTATATTCTAACCACATTGCAGGTCGTTTATTCTACAAGCTCCCTTCCTCGCTCTGGCTGCAGTTCTCGTGATTGTGAAGCTGAACGTCGGTGGGAAAACACACTCCAAGGAAAACAAACTCGCCAAAGTCGATTTCCTCGGAACAGCACTGCTAGGCTCATCCATTGTCGCGACAACCACAGTCCTCGACCAAGGCGGCAAGTCCTTCCCATGGAGCTCATGGTGGACAGTCCTCTTAGCAAGCAATGGAGTATTACTCCTGATCGCCTTCGTGCTCGTGGAAGCCTACGTTGCCGGCGAACCAATCTTCAATCTCCGCATTCTCCGGCGCACAAACGTATCAATGGCATACATCATCGGCGCACTCCAGATCGCCGCGCAGCTGGGAATGATGTTCTCTGTCCCACTTTATTTCCAAGTAACACAGCGCGCATCGACGACAGCAGCGGGCGCACATCTCATTCCAGCAGTGATAGGAAACACCCTCGGCGGATTACTTGCGGGAACACTTATCCGGCGCACAGGACAGTTCAAAGTTCTCCTGGTCGTCGCCGGCCTGGTTGCCGGCATTTCCTACCTCCTCCTTTATCTCTTCTGGGATGGGCACAGCGGCTTCTGGGAGTCGCTGTTTATTCTTCCTGGTGGTTTTGGCACGGGAATTGCATCAGCATCATCATTTATTGCCATGTCTGCTATGCTGCCGGCTGAGGAAATAGCCATGGCGACGGCAGGATATATGCTTATTGTCGGATTCTCAATAACGGCTGGTGTTACTGCATCCAATTCCGTTCTGGGAATGGGGTTCCAGCGGCAGCTGAGGCTAAATATTCACGGGCCTGGCTCTGAGAAGGTAAGTAGTTTATGGTGAGGATCTTTGGTCTGTGCTAATTGCTTTAGCTTATTCAACGTGCTATGGCCGATACCAATTATATCGCGCACTTAAGTGGCCATCTGCGGGAGATTGTGGTAACTTGTTATGTCTCGGGACTTAAACATACATATCGTGAGTTGATGGATTCTGTTATATCGAGTATCTTTCACTGACGTGCTGTAGTTGTTTCCCTTGGTTGTTCACTTTTGGCGTCATTCGGCGGCTTGTTTATTGCACGCCATCAAATCTAGCTCTGTCAATCAATCGGAACTACATCACTACGGTAGATCAATAAATAGGATTGCAAAGACATCCGAAAATGAGTATTTTGCTAAACTGAGGAGACTACCCAGTGAGCTATATATCTTCTGCCACATACAATGAACAACACTCAAGCATTTTTCAACAGACCTAGTGCTCCATCAAAGGAATGCTTGCTCATCATAGCTCCCAATATCAAACAGTAACATTATAGACCTTTTTACAAAGGCCAAGATATCAGTTGATGCTTTAGATGTGAGCTTCTAAAGAACGGATTCAATTTAGGCGATGGTCAGTCGTAAACATAAGACTTAAATAACCCTTCGTTACATGTTGTTATTTTACTGCTATTACCTCCAAGTATCACTGATCGTGACAGCAGTGGTACCACAGGTGGCGGGAACAGTGTACAACTGGTTCGGGTCACTCTCCCACTTAATAGTGCCATCACTTGCCACCTGGATATACTTGTAGGAGAAGCTAGTGCCCACTGGAAGTGTCACAGTCACAAACCACAGATGATTGCTCGTGGTGTATTTGGAAGCGCTCAACGCAATAGCACTGCTTGGGGACCAGGAGCCAAGCTGAGAGATAGATCCAGCAATTTTGATGTTCTGGCCGTATACAGTAGTAGCGATCACATTGAATGTCACTGCAACAGCGGTGGGAGTAGTGCATGATGCTGTCGTCGTGGTAGCCTTGGACGTAGTGGTAGTCGTCTTGGTGGTAGTTACGCTTCCTGATCCACTAGTCAAAGTGGTAGGCCAGGCCGTGTCTGTTGCACTGCTGAAAGTACCAATAGCCGAAGTATATTGACATTGCCCAGGGACACTGCTGGCAGATGCCTCACCCCATGGTGCAGGGACTATGGCATTTCGACGTTCGTTGGCAGTAAGGAGGGCTGCGTAAGACCAAGTCAGGTCACGAGCTGAGAGTTGCGAGCCATCTGACCTGGAGAATTGCTCGGACAAGGAGCCACTAGATAGCGCGTATTTTTCCTAAGATATTTGTTAGTCCGTGCAGTCAACAACCAGAAATAATGTGCAACATACCACAATGCTAACATATCCATCCGCATATACCTTGACAGCGGACACGATCGAGGAGTATGTATCACTGGACGAGGAGTAGGTGCCGGTTGCAGCAGAGCTGTGCAGATCCTTGAAGAAGCTCAAAGAGACGGAGGTGATTGTCAAAGAGCCGATACGGTTCCACGTGTAGATAGCATCATACAATTGCTCGGCTGCAGCCAAGGTGCACAGGTACCAAGGGTTACCATTGTAGTATGAGTCCTCTGGGTATCGACCAACGGAAACAGCCTTACCCGCAGCGATACCAGAGTTGACAGAGTAGATTGATCGGAACGAATCAGTCACAACTTTGTGATTTGCGAGTGCTCGTGCTGAGCAAGGCTGGAATGTGGTATCATCGCATCCTGCCTCTGGGTCGAACGTGTGGATGCTGCCCAGCAGGGTATTGGCATCTTTCCCGGAGCGGCCACCACCAAAGTTGGCCAGAATGTAAGATCCGGTCCAGAAGGATTGTAAGAAGCACAAGACATGTGGAGCCTGAGAGTTACAGTACGAGCACGAGGAACCGACTTGACTAGCGAACGTGCTTCCCTCCACCAAGGCGCGGTGCTGAGCCGCGATGGTAAAGAATGATGAGCCGGAAACTTCTTCCCAGAGATCTATAGGGTATTAGCAACGTGCACAAGAAAGGGCCGAGGTATACTAACCAAATCCGGTCTGATTCCAGTACTGGGCAACATAGGATAGATCGTTACGCACGACGGGCCAGACAATGTTGGTCGCATAGGTGGTGTACCCATTATCCTAAATTGGTTAGCAATGCCAAGGGAAACAGGTTCGAGGTTCATACAATAAGCCATTGGCCAAACGAGATCAATGCAGTGGCTCGCAACGCTGGCCCGTCACGTTGAGGGCGTCCCCAAGAGCCAGTGAAGGCTGTCTCATCGGCATTGAACTTAGGCTCTCCTAGTCCACCGCCGCCGGAAAGGCCTCCAGATGGATTTGACACCGTCTGGATATAGGCCTGCGAGCTGATATATTCTTCAATGACCTCCAACAAAGCGCTGTCACCATTCTTGAACATATCGATCAGACTCTTGAACACCAGGGCCGAGTCACGAGTCCAAGTATAATAGTCTGTAGGTCCAGTTAGTTTCCACTTCAATCAGCTGTGAAATAGCTTACAGTCAGGGTCAGAGGTACTCGGGCTGGCTAGTACAACACCCGGCTTCGCATTAGCAGCATGGGCACCAGCCGATCCGATGTTATCCAAGATACCCTGTCTTGCCACCATAGTCTCAGACGCCAACCAGGTATCCAAACTACCTGTCGCACGAGGGGCCAATATCTGTGGCGCGGCCACGACAGCATGGCCAAGAGTAAGCGCCCAAAGCGCAGTCCAAAAACGAGGAGCCATCATGGGGTCAGAAGTTGAGTTGAGTTGGCATCTCCGTGGGGGCGGAACTTGGCTTTTATAGGGTTGCAGGTGAGGGGATATAAGCCACTCGAAGGTCATTCGAGGAAGGTATAATGATGCATATGCGTGGGACTTGCATGGAACTCGCATGAGAGTTGCATGGTACTGCATGGTATTGCATGATAGCGGGGGGTCCGGGGGCTCCGGAGAAATGCTGCTAGGAAAGGATTGTCATTTTTTTCTGCTGCATAGCCATTAGCTTGGAATTTGTCAGCGCTAGGCAAGGGCTTCATTCCTAATTCTGCAAGTATCAGGTCCATCATTACTCTCTTCTGCAGGCGGATCGAATATCTCCCGAGGCACATGTGAGGTCTTATTATCCGATCGTTGATTTCCATGCCAATCGCTTAGGTCGACCAAAGATTGAATCAAGCATTTATCATCTCAAACAGATGCCGAGTCTTCATCTCCGACGTTTAATCCCGTTGAATCTCCGCCCCCTGTCATCTTCACCGTATAATCTGGGGTGGTGGCGGATGTCCACCAATCAGCCGGTTGAATTATCCCCGTCATCAGCACACTAGACCTGCCTCGGAACTAGCGCTTTGGTGAGAAATGACTTGGATGTGAGTTTGATACGACATTCCTTGTCTTCTATGGTGTTCTGGAGATGTGAAATTGTAAACAATCCCGCAGACGGACTAAGCTCCGGAGAGGTGAACCTCTTCAAGACTGGTGCGGTGCCTAGTATCGCTAGTATCCTGAGACTTCGGGGCTACCTTCACTTCGAGAGGATTATTCGCTTTCTCCTCGGTAGTTCGAATCGCTATCGCGGTCCAGCGGAGCAGACTTCAAGGAATTTGGGACTTTCTCGTCTGGCTTATTTGACCGATTGGATTGGAAGTACGCAAAGCTTATATGGGTGTATATTGCCGTGAACGAAGCTCCATCTTGCTGACTGGATGGCATGACGGTAGTTCACGGCGTGCAAGTCAAAGGTATAAATCGGGTCTGGCTGCTGTCCCCGTTGATTTCTCTAAGAACGAAAACCTCACCACGAATCAAGTTCCGCCTTGTTCATTGCTGTACACATGCAGAGAGTTGTATTTACAGCAACCCTACTGCTATGGCAGATGGTTATGGGCCTGACTCCTGCGGAATGGCGCAGCCAGTCAATCTATTTCCTGTTGACGGATCGTTTCGGACGCAGTGACAACTCGGTCACTGCTAACTGTAACGTTAATGAAAGAGTATGCCCGGCCTTTTGTCCCGAACTCTCAGTTTATAAAGTAATAACCGTTTTAGATCTATTGTGGCGGCACTTGGCAGGGTATTATCAACCAAGTATGCATCAAATCCTCCAATCAGAATTCATATACTGACTTGGCTACCAGTTGGATTATATCCAGGGAATGGGCTTCACTGCCATTTGGATTACTCCAGTCACAAAACAGCTCTCGCAAAGCACTGGCGATGGCACATCTTATCATGGGTACTGGCAGCAAGATATGTAAGATTATCGGACAGTTGATGCTTGGAATCTTACCCCCTTCATTAGATACAATGTCAATCAAAACCATGGCACATCCGATGACCTCTTGGCACTGTCGAAAGCACTGCACGCTCGAGGAATGTATCTCATGGTTGATGTTGTGGCAAACCATATGGTGTGTTTATCTTGAGCAATGGGATGGAACCTTTCTAACGCACTAATAGGGCTACGCTGGGGCTGGAAACACGGTGGATTACAGTGTCTTCACTCCCTTCAGTTCTTCGTCCTACTTCAACCCATACTGTTTGATCAGTAACTACAATGACCAGTCCAACGTCGAGAATTGTTGGCTTGGCGACACCATCGTGTCGCTGCCAGATCTCGACACAACCCAGAGCTCAGTGCAGACCATCTGGAACAATTGGATTGCTGATTTGGTGTCTGAATACTCTAGTAAGTCTAACGGTGTATGATAGAATCCGATCTAACACTGCCAGTTGATGGATTGCGCGTCGATACCGTGAAGCATGTCCAGAAGTCTTTCTGGCCTGACTTTAATGACGCAGCAGGCGTCTATGCTGTCGGGGAGATCTTTGATGGAAATCCAGCTTACACCTGCGACTATCAAAACTACATGGACGGTGTCTTGAATTATCCCATGTGAGAATGGCTGCCATCCTGTTTCCCTGAGAAAAGCTAACTATCCAGCTATTACCCACTGCTACGCGCGTTCCAATCTTCCAGCGGCAGCATCAGCGACTTGTATAACATGATTGGTACTGTGGCGTCTGCTTGTGCTGATTCAACCCTACTGGGAAATTTCATCGAGAATCATGACAATCCTCGTTTCCCAAGGTAAGAAATTCGAAGTTCTAAGAGTTACCCGACACTAACTACCCTTTGTTATAGCTACACAAGCGACTACTCACAGGCTAAGAATGTGATCTCCTTTCTCTTTTTGTCAGATGGGATACCCATTGTATATGCCGGCCAGGAACAGCATTACAGTGGTGGAAGTGACCCAGCCAACCGCGAAGCTATCTGGCTTTC